ATTACAGTTCAGTTTGTCATGGGGCTCAGTTGTCACAAAGTTATGGTAGGGTGCATGTCTTGCTTTCGAATAAGATTATTAACTTCTGGGCTCACATAAGAGATGCTGGGGGGGGGGATTTGCAAGCTCAGAACCAGCTGCTATGTGGAAGAGGTTTTCTGTCTAGTCAGCTGGGTTTCTGTGTGTAAACCCATCTGCAGGCACTCAGGGTCAGGGTTCAGCATAGGAAGACAGCCCTTTTGCTTCCTGTACATACTCTGTCATTTGTTTATTCACTTATCAAACATCTCCTGTTTACTGAAGTACCTATGTGAGAGGTAAAGCATTCAAAGATGGATGACTAGAGGTCTCTACATAGTTTCATGAGAGCTTTCACTGCTCTGTATACTCTGATAAAGTTAGGTTTCAAACCCAGCACACAAGGGTAACTGAGATGCCTATTAACATATCAAAGCAGACACTGGTGGCCAGGTTCTCCCAGCATCCCTCAGTCCCTATCTGTTATAGGGTCTTCCTGGCTGGTATACCCCATCCCCTATCCTGAACTCTCCAGCCCAAGTACTGGTCTGAGCTTCCCTCCTCCCAGCTCCTCTGGCCTCTATATAACTCACCATTTTGGTGATGCAAGACTCTTGTCCAGTCTCTTGGCCCAGGCTGCCCATCTTGGTCTCCTCTCGCTCTCCATTCCTCTGTCTCATCAAATGGCCTGGCTCAGTCTGGTCATGTTCACTCTGGACTGTCCCAGATGTCTCCATCTCTGTTGTCTCCCTTCTGTCTATAAGAAAAACTTCAACCCGTTAGGAGCATTCATGTTCTCCTTTTATTTCTTTTTTTCATTCAGTTCACAGGTATGCCTCCAATCCCAAGCTTCTTCCTAATCCATTGCCTATGGTAAGTGTTAGGCAAATTTTCAGACAATTAGACCTGTCCTAGGAGCTAAGGAATTGCTTCTCACCAGAAAGGAGCATGTGAGATCACATGACTTGCTGAAGCCAGGGAGATTGCAATTGGTATTTGGATTTCAGCCAAAGGCCGAAAACCCCAGAACACCAAAGACACGCTATCCTACCAGAAGGGTCTGAGTTCAAATAAAAAGTTGCTGGCAGCTCAGTTCAGAGTTTAATCATAGAAGTAGAGATCACAGGGAGCAGTGACTGCTGATGACAGTGACAGGGTGCATGGAAGGACGAGCATAATCCACGGTCTGCTCTTTAGTGGGACAAGATCTCCTTTCCATTACAGAGCCAACTTCTGACATCCCCAACACAGGACTAGTGCACTGACCAAACTGGGCCACCCGCTACTCAGCCCAAATTGTCCCCAACAGTTGCCCCAGTAAGTACGCCACAAGGCAAGGGAGAACCCAGATGTTTCTAAATGGCTTTCAGAGTGCTCCATAGATGCTGTTGTTTTGTCCAAAGGTAGACAGTGTGCAAGCTAGTAGGAAGAGAATGGCTAACAATTGAATCTGGAAGGACAGAAGGATGTTCTGTGTTTCCACCTAACTTTTGAGTCAGTTGCTTAGTGTGATAGGTTTCCCCTTTCAAATTTGTCTTAAAACAAATTGTTTCAAACAAACAAACAAAAAAAAAACCAGTCTTTTTCTGCCATTTGCCCCTTTCTGTATTCTCTGAAAAAGTTTCCAAATCTTTCTGGAAAGCTTAAAACCAAGTGCAATAGTAAACTGATTTGCGTTTGCAGCTCTTAGGTGGCCGAGACTCACTTGTGGCAGTCCCAGCCCAGGCCTTAACAGTCACGTGACTACAGTATGTTTTTTGTTGAATGAAAGCCCTTATAAGAACAGAAAGAAATCTCCTGTAGTCTGTGGTCAGTTAGTTTAGATGGCTTTGTTTCCTCAAGCCTTTGGGGGAGCAGGCAGTAGCTGTTGACTGTCTGCTAAGAGCAGTGAGTGTGTAGGTCTACACTGGAAAAAAAAAGGCTGTCTGTGTGAGGGGAGTGTGAATCCACCCAAGTACAAACACACCTAGTTCATCTTGTAGGAAGAAAATGTTTTCTTCATTCTCTGTGTTGCAATAATCAGACCCAGCGTCTTGTCTGGGATGATAATGTGTATAATGGTGAAGTCATTGCTCATCAGTTTCCTACAGAGTACTCCACATGTTTCTATGTCACGGGCAGTGTTAGCGTCGGTGAACTGGGGAAACTAGGTGTAGCTTTTGAGGTATCATACATATATAGTGTGATCCACTGGTGATGGGAATGTTTCAGTGTCGCTCAGCACTCCAGGTCTCAAAGGCCTGTCCACCGCTGGCGACTTTGCCAGGCTTATGGCCATGTTACAGTCTGAAGCCTGTGGATAACACACAGGTTGTGAATACCCATCAGAGGCTTTTCTTAGTCAGACCCCAGCAGCCTCTGGGTCTGGACCCACCTTGCTAAACTTTTGCACAATTTTTAGTCACTCTTTTTCCAGCTCCTGGTTCTGGATCATCTCCTCAAAGGCATGGAACTGTTACTGTTCTAACTGGTGCAGCTTTTGCTCTCTTTCCCCAGCTCTTGCTAGATGGCCATGTGCCAGGAACATTCTGACTCCTTTATAGTTTCCGTATTCTTCGATGTGTGTCTCCAAACCTGCCTGGAGTCCTTCTGCCTGAGGAAAGCAAGGCCTTTAATTTCTTGACTGTGTCTTCTCAGGAATGACAGCTGCTTTGTGATCCTGATATCCAGGGACTTGCTCCATGAAGGACTTGATGTACTTGCTATAGAGGATAAAGGCATGTTCAACGTTGCTTTCTCCAGAGTAAACGGATGCCGTGTAGATAACTTGAACTCCAGAGTGGAAGTCCTGACAGGGTGGAGCATTGAATTCCCGTGCATTCTCAAGCTGGGGAAGGATCTTTATCCTGTCTTTGGGTGGAAGGGTGATATTTCCATTGTCAGGCATCAGAACCAAAAACCTCTGATTCAAATTTTCTGCCTTCAGGATGCAGCCACAGTGGAAGAATCTGTTGTTCTGAACTCCATCTTGTTTGAAGACAGGTATCTCCTGACAACAGGGAAGAGTTAATGTCAGTCACAGCTACAAGGGATAAGGACACAGTAATATGGTTTGTCTGGGTGGCTGAAACTAAGTAGCATGTGTGTCCACTCTGAGAGACTAGTCAGTGGTCACTTGGAATGAACCAAATCTGTTTATGGGCAGCTCCATGGAAACTCCAAGGTTCTAAGAGGTGCTGATAGATTTGGAGGGAGAATGATGTCATAAAGCAGGTAGTAGTCAATAGGAAGGTCAGATTCTTAGCCAGAAAATGGGATTGGGTGGAGAGAATGGCAGGAGGGCTACAGCAACCCTGAATGGCTGAGCTTAGGCATGTGAAAACCTGCAAGACAGGTATGACAAAACCTCTCTCCTCTGGCTCTTAGGTTGGGGAAATCATCTCAATGTTTCTTACAAGTGTTCATTACTAAGTTACTTATAATTTGCCCATGATCTTTTCATGTGGGTCCTCATACGGTCTTAAGGAACAAGACAGCCATGGGAACCAAGTGACAAGTATCGGGGGAGGTGCTAAGGCAGGAGGCCCTTCTCAGGGGCCTGTGATGTCTTGAGGAGAGATGGGAAAAGAGGTACTTGAACTGAGTCTTGGAAGATGATAGGTGTTTCCCAGTGCACAAAGCTAGGAAGGGCATCCCAGGCTGGCGAGAGCATAATACTATAATATACTTGGCTATTTAAAGAAATAGGAAATTTATCCTGTTCCAAAGTTCAGTATTCTGTTTTTTTTGAAGCGAACTCTTTTTCAGTATCAAAGATTTCTACCCTTTGAGGTCTGAAACTTGGGAGGGATTCTACAAACTTTCTTCCACTTTTTTGTTAGATTTGAGGTCCATTCCATAGAAGGGGAATCACATGTAAACAACAAACCTGGTCAAAAGCCCAAGGCTGGAAGATCATAGATACAAGTAGGGGGAAGTTACTTCTGATGTTTGACTTATGAAATGCTTTTCATGTATTTGTGTTCATGCCCATAGATGAGTGCTGCTGTTTGCTTTGCTCAGAGGAGCTTCTCTTTGCTCTGGGCAGCAATTAGTAACGAGGCTCACACATAAGTGGTCAAGAATCAGAGATGATCTGGGGTGCTTGGCCCTAAGTGGGACATCTATATGACCCCCTCCAAGGCTCAGGGACATTGCGGAAGACGGGGCGGAAAGAATGTAAGAGCCAGAGGAAGGGGTAAAGTGTGGGGTGCTGCCTTCTGGGCATGACATATCTGTTTTCCTCTCTGACTTCCAGCAGCTCTGATTACCTATGCAAAAACCTGCCTAAAGTCTGGCTCACCAGCGTCCTGTCACAGCAGAGCAGGGAACTCATGAGGTCTTGCCATTCCCTGAAGATTTATAGGCAGTTACAGGTTGCTAGGGGAGAGGCTCTCAAAACCATTCTTCCCTGAGGCTTTGTAGGCAGTTACTGGGACCTGGGGGCAGTTAGAAGTACTTTCATTAGTGGTATAGCTACTGGTAAGTTGTTCTATTC